TACTAGACTTATCCAAGTGGGAGACTGTTGGAATAGTGTCTAAGGCTACAACTATATTAGGCAAGTATTTGACCCGGTTATGCATGGTCCTTTTGGGTTGCCTTCACCATAGCAACTTGATAGGATGATTTATTAAGAGAGAGTTCATATTATTAGTATATTATGAGAATAATATAAAGAATAATATATAGTTGTTTGATATAAGTCATAGAATTAATTGGAATTAATTTGGTGACTTAAAGAGATTAATTAAATAAGAGGGTATAAACTGTCAATTGTTTGATAGTTACACTTTAGACTATAAATCATTATCCAAGATAGGATGGACGATTTCTAGGGCTTGGATAAGCCAAAAATCGTCCATAGGGTTATCAAGGAAAGGATATGGATTAACTTAAAGTCTAAGTTATCCAATTAGGGTTAAAGTTGTAATCCTTAATGAGTCTACAAGTATAAATAGACCCTAGGGGTGAGGGAATTCGACACACCATCTAAAGTAGAGAGACTCTGGCCGAATTCCTCCCCTCTCCTCTCTCCCAAATCATCATCCTTGCTATTGGTGTTTGTAAGCCATTAGAGGAGTGACAATTGTAACTCTAGAAGCTCCATGACAACAAGATCAACAAGGAATCAAGAGGTATGATTCTAGATCTGTTTCAATATTGTTTTTACATCTGAATAGTCATTAGAAGTCTTGGATTCAAAGCATGTTTGATTAGAAAGCCTATATCCGAGCATTAGGGTTTTGCATGCGCACATAGGAAAGTTCTTATGGCTAAAACCCATCACCTCTCACCTCCTCACCTATCACCTCTCCCATGAAAACACACACTCGAAAACACCCTAACTGCCACCACTATACACCATCACCGCCACCGTCAGCAACCTTCGTCGCCCTTTTCCTTTCTTCTGTTAACTTCGCCGCCCTTTTCCTTTCTTCTGTTAACTTCGCCGCCCTCTTCCTTTCTTTTGTTAACTCCCATGTCCTGAAACCCTAACCGCCGTCACAAACCTCTGTCGCCACCCTTCTCGTTCCGGGACTAGGATTTTCATCTTAAAGATCTGATTAGAAGGCGTCGTCGGTTGAGAAGGAGAGAGACGAAGTTAGGGTTTGCAGAGGCGACGACAACAACTGGAACGAGGGGGCAAGTCTAAACCCTAGCCGCAACTACCTTAGACCACCTGCTAGGGTTTCAGTACACTTGTGGCGGCTTATGAAGATGCAATTCAGGCAACCATTTTGAGCAGCGAATCAAATAAAAAAGTTTTGGACCTGTTGGGATTCTACTGTCATCGTTTATTCCGTCCTCCCTCTTAAACGACCACCACATCTGAAAACCCTAGTAGTGACGGCTATGAAACCCTAGTAGCGGGGGCTCTAAAAAACCTAGTTATGATGGCGGGTTGTGGTTCCCGGTACATGGTGTTTTTTTGTAAGGGACATCAGAGAAAGTAGGAGGTGGTTCTCTAGTTCTGCAAAGACAGATGGATTGGCCGGAGAAATAAGTGAAGGTTGTGGTGGTGGTCCTTTGGTTTGGTGGCATTTTGACCAGAAAATGGTAGTCCTGTAGGCGGTGGCGGTGGTCAACTGGTCATCCGGTAGACAGTGGAGGTGGTCGTCCGGTAGGCGGTGGAGGTGGTCGTCCGACAATCTGATGTGTGTGTGTGTGTGTTTGGGGAAAAACTTCACATATCTAATTTTTATTGGACATTTGAGAGAGAGAGAGAGAGAGAGTATTTTTTTTCTTTTTCTTTTTTTAATTTTTGTAATAAAAAATTGAAAAAAAGAAAATACAAGGGCAATCGTCATTTAATAAAAAATCAAACCAAAATGGACCAAACTAGCAACAAAATGGAAACTTTTGGACCATTGATGCTAATCCAAACCTGTTTGGTCTAAAGTGACAATTTCCAACATACCATAGGGACCATTCTTACAATTGTCTTTAAATTTTAAAAATTTGCATCATTTCATTTTGGGATCAATTTTTTTTAAACATCCTACAATTATGTATTTTAAATATAATTATGTTTTTTCAAGGTGTGGTTTTGAATCATAATTTATAAATAGATAGATCATTATTGTTTTCTTATTATAAAATTACTTCAGTTAAATATTTCAGTAACGATAAAGGTAAAACTTTTATATCTTGTAATTTTGGATCATAACAACATTTTGCATCATAAATTTTGGATTGTAAATTTAGGATCATAAATTTCAATTATTAATATGCATGATCCAAAAATTATGATTCATAGTATCTTCTGGATCATAGACCTTGTGTATCATATTGAGATCATAAGTTGCATCTTCTAAATCAAACAATTTTGAATCATAATTATATTTACTTCAAAAATTACCAAGATCTAAACTTTTATATTATATATACTTCACAAATTACAAAGATCCAAACTTTAGATGATATAACATCTGTCATCATAAGTTTAGGGTCATGAATATCAATCGTTAATAGCATATTCTCATGTTTGGTATCTCTTACTTTTATGAACAAAAACTTGTTATGGTCCAAAACCTATTATGAACCAAAACATATATATGAATCAAAACTTATGTGAAAAAATATATAGATGGTTCAAATTAGTGTGATTCAAGAGATGAGACACCAGAAAAAGTGGAAGCCATTTCTCACAAACCCTTAAAACAATGTCAAAAAGAGATTCTTCATCTCATTTGTTGCAAGTAATCTTGGTGTTTTTTTTAATTAGAGTTTGTTCTTGATTTGTATTCATGTCATTATTCATATTTGAACAAAACATATTTATAAAAAAATCTATGTATAAATATTAAGCACATGAGAAATTCAAACGAAAACAATTATGTAATTGAGAACGCAAGAATAGAATAATCATATGTAAATAACAAGTTTTGATCACAAGTGAATAGCTTAATTATATGTTAATAAAATAGTATAATCACATGTGATTAAATACATAGTATAAGGAAATTATTATAAAATAAAAATAAAAATAAATAAAAAAGAATTTGTTATGAGTGTATTCATATGTGAATAAAAGGTTTTAATCACTTGAAAAACTTAATCATATGTGAATTATATGGTTTAATCACATGTTAATAAATAGATATACTAAAAATTTTTTGGTATGTATATATTCATATGTGAATAACAGTTTTTATCATATGTGAATAACTTAACCATATGTGAATAACATAAGTTAATCACACAATTATCAAGATCGAGATCCTACGTATGATCGTTTTTGGATTTGCAAGATCTTGATCCTTAAGATCCCACAAAAAAATATATATTTTTATTTTTTATTTTTTAATTATAAAAATTATTTCAAACATTCAATTTTTCATTCAAAAGTTATAAAAACTTCAAAATATTAATCATAAGTCACAACACAAAATAATAAATGGTAAATTGGTAAAGAGTAAAAGACATTTAAAAAAATCAAGGGAAGGTAGGATGGATCTGATCTCGATCCTACCTACCTACGATCTTACGATCCTACCTGCGATCTTACCTCATATATGATCCGTTTACTATCCAGATCGTTTTTCATACCTAGGATCGTATGATCCTACGATCAGGATCGCGATCTTGACAATCATGGTTAACCACATATGATTAAATAAATATAGCAAGAAAATTTATTAAAAAAAATCGTTATATGTATATTCATATGTGAATAAAAGGTTTTAATCAAACATGAAAAACTTAATCATATGTGAACAACATGGTTTAATCACATATCAATATTAAAAAGTAAAAAAATTTGTTATGTATATATTCATATGGGTATAACAATTCTTAATCATACATGTATAATAAGAAAATTTATTAAAAAATTAAGAAAAATTATTATTTATATATTCACATGTGAAGAAAAGGTTTTAATCATATGTGAATAACATGGTTTTAACACATACCATATAATAAAAAAATATTTAAAAAAAATTCATTATGTGTATATTCGCATGTGAATAATATGCTTTAATCATATGAATAACATTGTTTATGTGAATAACATTATTTAATCACATGTTAATAACATAGTTTAATCACATATAAATAACTTAATCGCATGTGGTGGTGGTGGGGAGGTCAAAGTGGTGGTTCACGTTGGCAAAGGGTGGTGGTGTTGGTAGGGTGGTGGGGCTAGGGTAGGAATGGGTGTGGTGATCGTGGTTGTGATGGGTCTTGGGTGATTGTTGAGGGTGATAGTGGGTGGTGGTGGTGGTGAGTGGTAGGTGGTGTGCGATATTGGTGGGGGTGGTTGGTACGTAGTTAGGTGGTAGCTGATGGTGGTGAGTGGTAATGGTAGGATGGTTGGTGGGTGGTGGTGTGTTATGATGGGTGGTAGTGTGGACGATTGGGTGGTGATGGTGGAGGTGGGTGGTAGTGGTGGTGGGAAGTGGGTGGTGGTGTTGATGGTAGTAGTTGAAAAAACTCAGACTTAAAATTTCAAGCTTGAGCCTCAAATTACACAATAAAAACCCTACTGATTGGCACATGTTACTATAAACCATGATTAGAACTAGAACCACAAATGACACGGGCTTTCATTAAAAAAAAAAAAAAAAAATTAAATCCAGTTGAACTTTATTGAGTTAGAATAGAAAAATGAGCTCAAAACATATATATAACAACACAAATTCAAAGTATTAGAGAAATTGACTAGATTTCTTATAAAACCTACGAACATATGTTTTAAAAATTACTAAGGACTTGTATGGGAACAAAAAATCAGTAAATCATATGAAGTGACTAGTGAGCAAATGATGAACAGTAAGCAGCAAAACTACAGATATTTAATACAAATTGAAGAACCATGATCATGTATTCATGATTGTTCACATAACTTGCCTGTCAGCAGCATCTGCAACAATGGGCAATCTAGGAACTTGCCCCAAAAAGCAAGAAGATGAACCATAAATCAAGGACACCAACAGAAACAAAAACACAGTGCTATCCACACTCATCAACAGATCTAACCCGATTCCATCTTTTGGATTAAAAGTTCTCTCTAAAAGATCAGGGAAAATCAACAGCACATCCAACACAATAACCTGCATGGTATTGAACCTCACATACCTACTGAAGTTAGGGTTTCTGACAACAACGAAGTAAAGTGTCAAAAACACTAAGAATCCATTGAATGGGAAGCTTTTGAACACCCTGATTGCAGGCACAAGAGGTTGAATTAAGGTTTCCATGAATGAGAATTGGGTGATTACGTATTTGCCGTATTGGATTCCATCAAAGAAGGGGTAGAAGTAACATACGGCTGAGATTAATCGGTCTGGTATGTCGACAGAGTCACTGTCGTTGGATTTGGCGACGATGAGACGGCGGTGACTGGATTTGATTTGGATCTGGTGGTGGTGGGGTGTTAGAGAGAGAAGAGGAGGTGGGGTTTTGAGATTGAGGGGGAGGAATGAAGTTGAATAAAGGGGCAGACTTCTTCTACATGATGAGAGCTTGAAAGGAGCTGCTGTTGATGATAGGGTGTTGGCCATGGACATGGACATGGCCATGGAGATTGGAGAAGAAGGAAGTGATTTCTCTTACAGTTACAGAGAGAAAGAGAAAGAAAGACAAGGAGGGAGGGAGGGACTGAACAAATAATATCAAACGGAGGTAGTTGAGTTGAGGAGGAGGGATAGCCGTTTGCCCGCTTCTCAACCATATCCTTTCAAAGGTCCATAGGAAAGAAAGGCCCAATACCAACAAATTCAATTTCAGGTGTCTGCAATGCACAGTTAGATTTGGAGAGAAAAAACGGAACTAGACGAAAATTGATTCAATGTGTAAATCTTATGATTCATGTACAAGTCTGAATGCAAAATCAGTAAGGCTAGAGGGACCTCATTTTGTCACACTTCTTTTACCATAAGGAGTGCTCCTTTTTTTGGCTGCATACCCCAAACCGTACTCTCCAAACCACATAAGTAGGCGGTGTTTACTGCGGTTTCAAATGCTCTGGTCTAAGATTGCATGTTTTATAAATTGACATAGTACCTTAATGCCTTAATGTGTAGTTTGTATTTTAATCATGATAGCATTATACTTTTCAATATATATATATATATATATATATATATATATATATATATATATATATATATATATATATATATATATATATATATATGGAGAGAGGGGTTCATATCCTCTCTACATGTATTGTGTAAATGTAGGAAACAATAGAATTTAAGAATAATTAAATAATTAATAAGATAATTATGTAATTTAGCATATAATAATCATAATAAAACTCTTAAATCATTCATTACAAAAAAAAAAGTTCTATAAGTACTCTTCCTTCGTTTTCAATACCACCCTGTTGATGTGATTTTTTTGTCTTTTGTTGTTTTTTTTTTCCTTATTTTGTTTTTTTATTGTTTTTAATTCTTTTTTATTCTTTTATTTTAATAATAATAATAATAATAATAATATTATTATTATTAGTATTATTATTACTATTACTATTATAACTATTATCGATAACCATAGAAAAATCGAACAACGTTTTAAAATTCAGATGATATTTTAGAATTTTGGACGACATTATAAATTTGGATGACATAATAAAATTCAAACGACTATATAAAACGGAACAAAAATAAAGTTTGTCTTTATTTATTACGAATATATTAATTGGTTCGGTATTACATTTGTGTAGTACATTATGCGAATTGAAAGCAAACTTTACTTTTGTTTCATTTTATATAGTCGTTCGAATTTTATAATGTCATTTGAGTTTATAATGTTGTTGGAAATTTTAAAATGTTATCTGAATTTATATGATTATCGAAATTTATAATAATAATAATATTAATAATAAAAAGAAAAAATAAAAGAAAAAACAACAGACTAACAAAAAGGGAAAAAAAAAAAAAAAAAAAAAAAAGACTAATATCATATCAAAAGTAAAAAAAATTGATTAGATTGATGTTAAGGGGTAAAATTTATTAGGGTACTTATAGTACAACCTCAAAAAAAAAAAAAAAAAAAAAAAAAAAAAAAAAAAAAAAAATCTCTTTTTACCAACTCTTTAACCTAACCTCCCATATCAGTACGTATTACTGTCTCTTATTTTTTTTTTTACTGACGAATGAAACCTTAACCATCATATGATCGAAGGAGGGTCGGAGCTGCCAACCGGCGACGACGATGATGGCGTCGTAGCCAAGGCACGAAAGTATGACCTTTTTTTGTGCGATTCAGAGATAGAAATATTGATTTCGGTGATGACCATTTTGTTTCCTCTCTTGTTCTTGCCTTCTTCCCCCGTTATTAAATCAATGATTTTCTGGAACAATTCTTTTTTTTTTTTTTTTTCCTTCTCGTTCTTGACTTCACCTTGAAGGCTTGAACCCTAACCTACAAATTACATGTAATATTCTGATTTCACAATTTTCCTAAGTATGAACATGTTTTAGATTTTTATCAATTACGATTTTGTTCATTAATGTAAGTAAATTGATGTCAAGTTTATCAGGAAATTGAAAATTTTAACCAAAGAAACCAAACCAGTAATTTTAATCTTTGTGAAATAGTAATCCAATCATCTTGGTAAGCTTTTACGTATTTTATATGTTCTTTTCTGTTTTGTATACCTAAACTTCTTTTTTTGTAAGCCTAAACTAACAGAAAATGTGATGATTTAAGGAGTGTCCTAAAAGTGTTTGATGAAACGTTAAAGAGAAATGTGATTAGATGGGTATTGATTGTTCAACATGTCACGGCAGTCTCAAATTGTATTCTTTTTTAGTGATGGAATGTTCATGGCAGTCTCAAATTGTATTATTGGTTAGTGATGGAATGTTCATGGCATTCTAGGGTTATGTTACGGTTTTTACAGGGATCGAGATGCTCTGTAGTTGTTAAATTTTATTTTCTAAATATAAAATTTGATTTGTGATCACAGGAGCAAGCAATAAGCAAAATAGGATGATTGGAATGAACATCTATAATAGCTCTTAATTCCTTATGTAAATTACATTTTTTTCTTGTCTTGGTTGCAAGTGTGTATGGATGTCACTGGGAATGGTTGCAATCCAAACACTAATCTCGAGTCCAAGAATATGTATGTTATGATATCTTTTTGGAACCCTTTATTCCATAGCTTTAAGCCATGTTTTATGACAATATTCAAAGCTTGTTATATTCATAATTGAATGGCTGATGTCCCATGATTAATGTATCCTAGAATTGGTCTGATATTTCTGCAACTAGAAGCCTAAATTGGTTTTGATCTTTCTGAACCGGATTGGATATTTTTTGCCACTATAACCTTAACTTACTGGTCTGGTCGTTTCTTCTCATTATACGTATATATATTTTGTAGATAATCTAATCAAAGAACTTTGAAGCTACTGTAGCAGCTAATCAATCAACCATATAGAGTTTGACTTCTAAATTAAACGAGCTTCAACTTGAGGTATATATCCTTGTTTTTGTTGGTGCATTACACATTAGTTTTGAATCCTTTGTTAGCCCATCCAGGACAGCAGTTAAACTCATTGTCTTGGTGCAACTTGTATCATGATCTCCATGTGTGAGTGCCTATTGTAGGCTTGCGAATACCTTCATGAATATTATTTAAAACCTACAAATATTCTTTCAGAATGGCAAAGACTTTAGAATGAGGAATGCCAATATTCTTTCAGAATAAGGAAGGATAATATTCTTTTTTGTTCTTATGAATATTTTTCAAGAATTTATTTCATTTTTATGACATTTTGTTAGAATATATATATATATATATATATATATATATATATATATATATATATATATATATATATATATATATAATTATATTAAAATGTGTAAGATTATTATTCTCTAACATATATATGAATCTACATCCAGATGTCCATGAATATACAAAGGTCTTGTCATTTTTTCAACTAATGGTTCAAGAATGTTGTTTTCCTTCAAGAAGTTCATTTAATCAAAATAAGTATAATAGTCAGAAATATGTATCCTGACATTCTTATAGAATATCATTCTAACATAATATCATTCTCACGGAATAAAATTGGATACAATTAACAATTATTTTTTTTTTAAATTGAATTAACGAAAAAATCAGAATTTTTAAATCAAGAAAATTAATTATCCTCACAAATCTGGAATTTTCATTTTTTAGATTTATATCAATTGACTAAAATACCATTATAGTGAAATTAGATAATATTTTCCAATTATTTTTAATTTAATAAGATTTACTAATCACTTCCTTAAAATATTTGAAATGATTGGTTCACAATCAATCTTACATCCACACAATAGATAGTTAGAATAGAATAACATAACCTAGCTGTGTGTGTATTGAAAAAGTAAATAATTAGTTTAATAAAAAACAATTAATTATGATTATACATATTGCCATAAAATAAAATTTAGATGGATAAAATATTTGTAGTGTTATTCTCACACAGAAATGTAGAATTTATTTTCATTAAATAATTTTCATATTTTTTTAGTATTTTTTACCTTTTAATTGTTAATCCAATATGTTTGTGAAATATATTATGTTAATACTTTCTTTTTAATAATTTAATACTTTTTTTCAATAATTTATATGAATAGTTGTTTATTATTATAACTTAGTTTGTCTAGTAAAGTCATAAAAATGAGTGATGAATTTATATAAAATTGTTAAAAAAATGAACAACCAACAGTTAAATCATAAAAATGAGTATTTCTATTGATCGGTCATATCATCTAGGTCCGAATTGGACATCCAATTGTTTCGATTTGAATTATGATAATGCATTCTATAGATATTCAATATATCAAAGATGGACAATCAAACCTATTTTTCGATTCAATAGAAGTCCAGAAAGGTGAATAGGGTTCCAAATAACAAGAGATATGTAAAAAGTAGGTCCGATTACGCTTATTCCTAATCTTAATGGAATGTAACTAGGGATTCATATGTAAACATAGTATCTATTTAGATATGCTCAAATGACCCCTTCTCACAATGAGAATTTATATAACCCTATTCCGGTCCGGTATGAAATGAAATTATAACCATAGAATCGACTCGATCATCAGATTATAGATTATAAGTTCATAACCCAAGCCCATTGCTATTTTGGGCAGAACCATCTACTAATTCTTTGATTCCAGTTAGTAAGAGGGATCTCGAACTAAGAAATAGACCTTAAAAACTAAAAAATGGTATCCTAGAGCAATTGCAATAATCAGATTCATTGATGTTCCTGATATAGTAGATGCTATCACACATACAATCATACTCAATTCGATGGAATTGTTTGATCTTAAAGGGGATCTTCTATAATTTCGCACATGAGGGGTTATTTCTTGGTTTTTTACTCGGGAGAGATTGTTGCAAAGGTGTTCGTTTTCAAGGGTTTGTGAATGTGTATTATGACATTTTCTTGATATCTTGTTCTCAACATGTCGGAAGGATCAAAAATAGCAAACAAGAATCAACACAGAAAAGCACATGACGTGGATATAAAATACTGTAAGAAAC